CACTCTGAATTGGGTTAGATGGCACAGGAATATTTGGCTAGCTACGTGTCGTGTTGCCGGACAGCAATAACATATCGAGTTTCACTCATCTTTTCCTTCCAGTACACCTACCTTAACTTTCAATATTCTGTCTATAACAGTCTTTCCACATACTAATCCTGCATTCAAAACAGAGCTGGATAAACTTTAAATATAAAATCATATACGTAATCCCTGCTATCTGTGATGTTTGAACCCCTGCTCTTTTTTGGGGTGGTAGGGCTAAAAAATTCACTTACTGTAATTGGAAAAGAATAATTGCAAAGTTGTTGCCTTGAGTAAGGAAAAAACCTCCAGCAGCTCATGCACTGGATGTCTCAATACCCTCCCTCTCTGGAATTACACTAGCAAAAGCTTTTCCCCTTAAAATTAACCTCAGCAAGCATGTTGGCCAATAATTAGACCCACTGCCTTATCTGAATTAAATGCAGAACAGTCTGAAGCAGCACCGATGTCAAAGCAGCAGCACACCTGAGCATACAGCTTTAAGGAGACCTGCTTAGAAAGTTTCCAGTAGAACAGTGTTCCGAAACAAAGTGCTGACTTGATGAAACCTGAAATATTCCACAGAAATGTGCTAATTCAATCAAAACTTTTGAAAGAGGACAGGCAGGCTTGCCGAGCCAACCAACCAGTCTAGTGAGCTGACTGGCTCTCCCCAGCTCTCTGGGGTCACTGGCTTCCCCATCTGGCCAGGTGCCAGGCTGCTAGTCCCTGCTCTCAGAGGGGCCCTTTAATAATAACAAAGTTTTACAAAGTGTTCTGAGAAACAAACAAAGGATTTTTAAAATGAAAACCAAAATTACTTCAGAACAAACTGCAAGGTTTCTTCAAGAGGGATTTGGTTGCATGTGTTGCAAAGCATCTAAAGCTAGTGCCCCTAAAGACACCAGTCTCTCCTATGTCTCCTTAATTTTTATAAAGCATCTTCCAGTGAAAAAAGCATTAATACTGTAACAACACAAAATGAACAATGATTATATTCAAAACCTAAACTTCACCGGATAGGTCTAATCATCAGGAGGGAGTTAAAGGCAAGTTGCTTCCAAAGCACTGAGTGTCATTCAAGTAAATGCCCTTGCCTGACCAAAACCCAGGGCTACCTTGTAGGCAACATCTTGTGCAGCACAGTCCCTAAGTGGGCTCTCGTGTAACTCACCATGGCAAACTTGAACGAGATGGTGCAAAGGGCCTCATTTAACACTTTGGAGAACCTCAAAGGAATATGTACAGCTATATAATATTTTAGCAGTGGTTTTCAAAAAATCTGTCAGCTAGCAAGTAACCCACTTTCTTCACAGAAATGGCTTCTAGCAACCCCTGGCTAACCAGTGCATGGGACCTACTCTGGCTTCTCAGCAACTCAGCAAGTAACTGTATGAAGAGAGTCTTTAATTGCTAAAAAAAGCAAGGCTATTTAAGACAGTAACACCAAACACATTGTTTTTGCACAATTCCGTTCATTTAACCAGCTTTCGTATCAGAATGTCTAGATATTGGTTCATGTGTGAGCACCACAAGTAATTTAAGACATACTTGGAACAAAGTTCCACAGAAAAAAAGAAAGAGCTCTTTTTACACACCAAATTGAATAAGCAATGAGATCTCTACTGCAGGCAAGTCACATGATTTTGAAATAACATGGCTAATAAAATATACTGATTTATTTATATGAGAATCAGTACAAGTTCCAGCACAGAACTGGGACAAATTTGTGACCACTCTCTTTCAGAAAACACATGTAAATCAGACAGCTGCCAGAGTTTGCAGTTCACTGACCCTTCCTGCTGCCAAATGCAATGCACAACGGTAACTCAGAAAGCAATTAGATATTGTCTGGGAGGACTCATTAATTTTTTTTTAAACTTCAAATCACATCTAAACAGTCTTACAACATTTTTCTGGGGAAGACTCTATGCCTCAGACTCACATTTAAAAATAAAGGAGGTTTGTGTTCTCAGAATGACAAAATACATACAATTTGTTCCCTGTTGTTTCTTAGAAAGAACAACTAATACGCTTACAGCATCATGAGGAAATACATCTAAAACAGAACTAGACATAAGCACAGTTCAATCCAACTGCTCAATTTTTAAACATTTCACCACCTGCAAAGTCTAAGGCTCTCTTCAACTACTTGCAACACAAAATTCAGAGAGAAAAGAAGGTGAGAAAAAAAATGGAGAAAAAAAATTCCTACTAGTGGTAATAGGACTGGGAAACCACCAGTGACCAACACAAGCAAATGATGCCTGCTTGGCTCTATTTAAGTATATAGGGCCTAAGGCCAAGATAACAATGAGAAAGTAAAGCATAAAGAAATGCCTTCCATTTTGGAAGAAGGTACCAGAGGTTGATAGCTGCACCTTTTCTTCTCTCAAGCAAAACTTGAGATGCCCTTGTTATGGATTACAACAAAAAGGCAGATCCATCACTGATCTCCTCATCGTGGCAAACAGCAAAATATACAAGAAAAAAAAGCACGTACCTTCATATGCAATTCTGGGCCGGTAATCATGGCAGCATTAAGTTACCAATCTGCTAGTTAATTCTCTTTCATTAGCCTCATTAAAGGGATCACAATCATACCACAAAGTAACAACTGAGTACTGCATTACTCCGAAGCCATATTCTCTATTTCTTTGCACTGCAGTAATTTAACAAGCTATAGGCTACAGTTTAAGATTTAGTCCATGACTCCAGAAGCTAACCAACTGGAGTCACAGATGTCCTGGGTTCAGCTGAAACAGAGTTAACTTTCCTCATAGTAGCTAGCAAGAGGCTGGGTTTTGGATTTATGCTAAGAAGAAAGCTGACAACAGTGATGTTTATAGTTGTTGCCAGGACAGCACAAGGTGTTTCAGCTTCTCTGCTGTCCACAGGAGAAGCTGTGAGGGAGCACAGCCCCAATTACTAGCCTAGGATTCAATCTTAGATTCGGGATTGAGACCCAAAGTGGCCAATAGTCTATTCCATAACATACACGTCATGCTCAGTACATAGGTGAGGGTCCTCTGGAAGATCGTCCCTTTTTGTTCTGGATCCCTTTTGCTCTAGGTTTGCCTCCCAGCCAAGGGTTAACCCATCACAAGGATCAATGCACATTTCTATTATGAGAATGAGACCATACTTCTAAGTAAGCATCTTTCTCAAATCAGTCTGTGTAATTCAGTAGTTTTGTCCTTTCAACCTTATATAAACCTTTCCTAGAATGAGTTTCTGAGGCTCTCTATACAGCAGACACACGGCTAAATTGAAGGACAAGTTCCTGGTAATAACTCATATTGCATTGTCCACAACTGCTTTTGTCGTGTTGCAGATTATCAAGAGATTATTTCAGTCAACTCATAACTTGTGGACATCCCATCAGTTGGATTACTGCCAGAGCTTGCTCTTTGCCAGCTTGCCTCCTCCTGCTCTACCCTAACTGATCCCAAGTGCATTATCCCTCCCTGACTGGCGCAATTAGCCTGCTTCTTCTTGATGGTCAACATCCCTCCATACAAAGATTTCTAACAACTTATCTTGAAAATGCTTAGTCCTCATTTACAAAAGGCAAAACAAAAAGAAACAAAGCCCCCTCTGTTAGATGAAGTCAACCTTCTCAAATATATGGTGCAGCAACACCAAGAGAAAAAAAAATATTTACTTTTCCTGAGTGCTGTGCTTTGAAATGGCTTTCACAACTGTAAATATATTATTTCAAATTATTTTTGCAATTAAGGCCAAGCATTATCGCTGTCCAGACAAAGAAAAAGGTGGTTCCAACCACTCTTCAAGACTTGTTCCAAGGAAAAAAAAAATCCAGTGTAGGATACTATAACTGCAAGGGTGCCAGGAGTGTCAAAGAGCCCATAACACTGCAGGTTATTTATACAACTAACTTATGGTGGAAGGTCTTCAGGAGGTCTTCAGGTCCAGCCCCTCACTCAAAGCAGGACCAAGCTAGACTAAGTTGCTCAGGGCCTTGTTCAACCAGTTGCTGATCATCTCCAAGGATGGAGGTTGCACAACCTCTTCAGGTGCCTGCTACTGTGTCTGACCACCCTTATTATGCAGCATTTCTACCTTACATTGAATCAGATTTTTCCCTGATGCAACTTGTGACCACTGAACCTCAACTTTTTGCTCTGCACCTCCAGAAAAAAACTGACTTCCTTCCCTCTACAATTTTTTCTTCTCACATTCTGTTCTCACATATTCCACATCTGATGACTGGTGAGCAATAAGCTCATTTAGGAGGCACTGTAAGACTTACTGATGCTAGGGCAGCTCTGCCAAAGTAGGCACTAAGATTTCACTAAGATTTTTGAATTACCAGTTCTCTGAAATCTTTTTGTGTGCTTGCCATAGAACTGAGTGCCAGGAGACTGTAATGGTATGGGGAAAAAACAGAGCTACAACAGCTGATTCATTTGACATTGGCAAAAGTCTCACTAAACCCACAAAAAATGAAGGTTAGACATACATATCTACCAGTCCTTATAAAGTATCACAAACACAATCTGATGAAGAAGGAAAGTTCTTTAGCTCCTTCAAGAAAGGGTAATTTTCTTGAATAAGGCGCAACTGCACAGTGCATCAAGTAACAGTCCTTAATAATGCCCCCAGGAGACTTGATTGACCTGCCTGTCATTAGATGAGAGGGTGTTTAAACTACACATATCTCAAGTGGGCACTACACAGACACTGACCAATACCTGATCTTGCGGCCAAAAAAATTGAATACACACACTCAAATAAGAATAATTTTATATTTGTAGAACAAGTCAACAGTGTAAATGATATTGGCAGGCAGTAAAAGACCAAGTTCCTATGAATTATTTTGAAAAAATAAACAAGCAAAAAAAATACATCTTTTCTGAGTCCACTGAATTAGTTACCAGAGTATCTTATTAAATAATTATTATCATTCTAATGTTTAAAATGAATAAATAATTATCAGCTTACTTCTTTCTTACCATTGTAGGTTATCCTTGGTTTTGTCAAACACATCACAAGATGTAAATCCATTTCATCGGAAGATACAAATTTTGAACATACAGGGCACTTGAATCCTATAGAAAATAAAAATACATAAGCATGAGTACATTTGAGCATATTGCAAATATGCATTCAAGCCAAAAAACTATTCTGCATACATTAAAAGAAAGAAACAAAATTAAATCTGGCAGCTTTTCAGTTTGGACCTGACATTTCTTACGTGAATACAATTTCCTTGATTTCAAAAGATCTCAAAATAGACCATTGTTTCTGCAAATTGATCTGTTACCCACTGTAAACATGTCAGCACCTCTGTAATGCAACATTTCCCTAAAAACTCTAAGAACAGTTTAAGACAAGTGCAAGAGGATGATGTGGCTCTACTAAAACAGACATTAGAAATGTATAGAGAACATAGCCATTAAAATCTGAATTTGGGCAGGAGCCCTGAATTAACATCTACATTTTTGCCAGGAATAGCATTGAAACTTTAAAAAAGGACCTTGGTTTTACATCTCATCATGCAAGTTGCAGCATCTTTTACCAGTCTGGGACACAGGAAAAACATTAACTCAGGGGTGTCACCTCACCTACTGAATCACTAATATTTCCTGTAGTGCTGAATTCGTTTGACTTATCTCATCCTAGCCAAGCATGACCTTGTTTAGTTTGTGAGGTCACAGCCTGAGGCAATACAGGGTAAAGAATAATTAAGACAGTCTGGATTGTGATGCAACTGCATAACAGTCTATGACAAAACTGCTTCATACTTTAATTTATGTCATTACGAAAGACAGAAGTCTTCCAGCTGAAGGACAAGATTGGTTGGACAAGTTTTACGGTCCACAGAAACATCTGAGAAACGTCTCCCTGAATTTGATCTGCTGAATAACTAACACACAAGTGAGAGACAAAAAGCCATCACCAGGGATCTTGATGCGTAACAGCTGTTAAGCAGTATACCTACAAGACAACATACAGGAAAAATATCTAAATCCATGTTCAGTGCAAAGAGGCAACTTCTTCAATGCTGTTGAAAAGATGATGCAGGCATGTATAAATGGCCACTGTGCTTTCCACTAACATCCACATTTGGGCCTGCTCCCACATGTTTTAGTTTGTTACCCCTTGCTTTTGTACTTCCAACCTTGGGAGTTCATAATGAACCGAGTCAGTCAAGGATGACATGTGACTTGATGCTGTGCTTTCAAATTACTGATGCCTGAGAATCTTGATCTTTACTCTTAATAATTATCCAGAGGCAGATCAAGCAACTAACCTGAAGCATTAGCACTTGACAGAAATAATGCACTTCATTTATCAAGACAATGATTTTTATTTTTTTAGTGCAGCTCATGGGAAGCAAGTAAAACCAGACAATTGGTAATACCCATGAGGAACTTTGAGCAGCAGCTGAACGTGTACTGGAAAGCACTTCCTGAGATAAAGTATAGTTCTGATTCTTCCCATTTTAGTCATAAGCAGCTCATATCTATTTTTTCTTGTGTCAATCTTGCACTTCAGTTTAAATATTGCTCTTCTCTCCTTATTTTTAACCCTCCTCCCCCAACCCACATATTTACAAACAACAGTTACAACCACAGCTTAATAAGCATACAACAGCTAAACACAGCTTTTGGAAAAAACAAGTTGAAAGGATTAATTTCCTTGTAGAAAGCTTTGTCAGTGATTTCTTCACCCACTGTGTAGCCTCCTTCCCCCAGCCTACATCTCAACATGACTAAAATTGAAATCAGTCTCCCAGTTCCCCAAACCACCCATAACTACTTTGTTATAGCTTTCTTCAAAAACTGACCCAGTAAATTTTCTCTCAACCTTTACCAGCCTGATGCAGCTGATTACTCTTAAGTCTAGTCAAAGCCTGCTAAGATCCCAGTATTATTCTCATTGATATGCTCCTACAAGGCATAACTGACAACATATTTTGATGTGAAAAAGCACGTAACTTCCTTATACACTGCAGACTGAGCCTTGCTGTGCCAGAAGGGAGTGTTTGCATTACAGCAAGTTAACATTTATGTTCATGGCTAGTTAAGCACCAGGACAGTCATTAACAGGTTCCCTCTGCTTTCTGGACAGAACCCTTCTAGCTCGTTCCCTAGGGTCATCAGCACTTCTAATTGGGAGTGACAGGGGTCAAGGAAAACCATCAATAGGTCTTTAGAACCACTGCTAAAGTTAACAGTGTTATTAAGAAGGTATATATCCCAGGAATGCTTGGAGGGAATACTTAAATCCAGATAAAACAGTAGGGAGAGTTTGGGTAAATAAATAATTAATATTAATAAAAATAAAACCATGCTTAAACATAGACAACTGTGAACAATCTTTCTGGTTTTCCACCTAAAGTATTTAGATCAATGTAGTTATACTACCATATGCCTGCTCCTAAATCTAATGAACAGTCCACATTTTAGCAACAGAGTAAATCCACATTTTAACCGTATAGTATCTTGTGGCTTGTCCCGTGTCAAGGGGTATCTGGAGGTAATAGTTAAGCAACTACAGATATCCTCCTGACACAGCAAGTCTGGGATATCTCACTGCTGTAGCTCTACTTGGCACTCAAGACTACCCAAGTTCCTTAGTGTACCGTTCTATGGACCAAATTAGCAGCCAGTGGTAAAGGTCTCTTTGTGGAAAAGATGTTTTTCCAGGGACCAGCATCAGCTCCATGTCAGCAAAACAGCCAAAAAAAAAAAAAAAAAAAAAAAAAAAAAAAAAAAAAAAAAAAAAAAAAAGAGCCTTAGGCTCACAAAACCTTCTGAAACATTTTTTGAAATACAAGTAAATCCCACTTCTCATTCCTTCACAACGTGCTGCTGCAATAACCAGCTCCTGGATTTAGCCATCTTCCCCAAGAGATGCACAGTCTATGTTTTGTGTGAAGGAAATTACCATTTCCAACTCCCTTAGTAACCCCAAACAAATTATTTTGACTGTAGACACAATACTTACTTTACTTTTAACTGTATTTGAAAAAATACAAATAAGTGAACATTCAACACTGTCCACAAGCCAGTCGAAGGTGGTAGAAAGCTGGTATTTTCCCACCTTTCCTCAAATCAGAAGGCAATAGTTTCATGACCCAGTTTACAATTAAGTGCTCTGTAAGAACAAAGGCTCTATTGTACCACTGCCCAGCAGGCTAACAACATTTATAGCCTGTTTGCTTTTACCACCAGTCTCAAGGAACAATTCTAATAACTTTCTTCAAGTTTCACATGACTTCAACAATCAGCAAAAGGTCAACAATAACTTGCTCTCTACATTATTTGTTTTACTGAGTTTTGCAGACAAACAATGTGCGGTGCTGTCAACACACTGGAGGGAAGAGATGCCATCCAGAGGGACCCTGACAGGCTTGAAAGGTGGGCCCATGCCAACCTCAGGAAGTTCAACAAGGCCAACTGCAAGGTATAAGGAATTGGCTGGATGGTCACACTCAAAGAGTTGTGGCCAATGGCTCAATGTCCAAGTGGAGACCGGTGTCAAATGGCGTTCCGCAGGGGTCGGTACTGGGACCAGTGCTGTTTAACATCTTTGTCGGAGACATGGACAGTGGGATTGAGTGCACCCTCAGCAAGTTTGCCAATGACACCAAGCTGTGTGGTGTGGTGGACACGCTGGAGGGAAGGGATGCCATCCAGAGGGACCTTGACAGGCTAGAGAGGTGGGTCCGTGTGAACCTTAGGAAGTCCAACAAGGCAAAGTGCAAAGTCCTGCACCTGGTTTTGGTCAATCCCAAGCACAAATATAGGCTGGGAGGAGAATGGTTTGAAAGGAGTCCTGAAGAGAAGGACTTGGGGGTGCTGGTTGATGAGAAGCTGAACATGATCCAGCAACATGCGCTTGCAGCCCAGAAAGCCAACTGTATCCGGGGCTACATCAAAAGAAGTGTGACCAGCAGGTCAAGGGAGGTGATTCTCCCTCTCTACTCTGCTCTTGTGAGACCCAACCTGGAGTACTGCGTCCAGCTCTGGGATCCTCAGCACAGGAAAGACATGGACCAGTTGGTCCGGAGGAGGACCACAAAAATGACCACAGGGCTGGAGCACCTCCCATATGAGGACAGGCTGAGAGAGTTGAACTTGTTTAGCCTAAAGAAGAGAAGGCTCTGGAGAGACCTTAGAGCAGCCTTCCAGTAGTTAAAAGGGGTCTGACAGGAGAGATGGGGAGGCACTCTTCATCAGGGAGTGTAGTGATAGAACAAGGGCTAACGGTTTTAAGCTGAAAGAGAGCA